AAAAAAGAAAAAAATTATTTTTTAGAAAAAAGTACTTCATTGTTATAAGGCAGAATAAACTGATAAGTCTTGACAAAGATAATAATTAAGTCTATCTGTCTTAAAGATATCCCTTTTCCAGCTGTAGTCAATTTGACTTTTTATACTACAGGTGACATTTCTAAGTTGCCTGCCTGTGATGGCTGTGAAAGGTAGCAGTAACAGAGCATTACTTGGCAGTCAATTCTCATTGCCCATGTTTGAAATGCCAAGATGCATAATTGATGGGATCTGACCTTGTTGCTTTCAAGGATGTCTGTAACGATGAACCTCTTGATTTTCTTCCTTTTTCTTTTACAGGAGGATGAAACTGATGTCTCTGAAGAGGTCAAAGCAGCATGGGTAAGTGACAACCCAGTGAGGCATGTCTCTTGAGAGCACAGTCTTGCTCTTGTAAGTAATTTTAATAGAAGAAAGGGCAAGACTTATGAAGATTTTAGCTGAGAGGGAGATTGGAGATAGACGTTCCTCTAAAAGATTTGGCAGGCGTTAGTCTGTGGTACTGTTTTATCATGTGGTGTAACAATGCCCGTGTCCTTGAACCAGTTTCCTACATTTTTCTATGACTGCTGCCAATCTTTCACACTGTTATAGGATCCATCATTTTCTCTCTTGTGAGTATGTTATTGTATTATATGAAGTACTTTGAAATATTTGAATGAAAAGTGAAGAGTGATACCAGTTCCTTTTTGGATCTACACTAATAGAGAAGAACATAAATGTGGAGAATGTAAAACATTAGACAGTCCCAAAGTCATTTATATTTGACTTTGAAATAAGATTAAATGTCTGGCATCTTATATAACTCTGACCCTTTAAGGCCTGACATCCAATTTTTCCCTGCAGTGAAAGGCCTAAGTTCAGCTTTTCTGAAGATACTCCAGGCTCCTCTAAGCCACTCAGACACGATTGATGGTGTTCTTCTTTTCAGTACTGTTTTCCAAGAAGGAAGGAATTTGGTTTTGACTAAATTAATTGAAATACATGTGCTTTTCTATTGAAATTATGTAAAAAGATGAACTTTTTTTATCCTACAACGTATTATAAGTATGTTCTCAGAGTATATTTAATAACCTGTACTGAAAATTAACAACTAATTTTTAGCAGAGAAGATATAAATATTATAATGTCATTGACTTGCCTATATTTTAGTCTAGATCCAAAACAGACAATAGCAGGCTTCCAAAAAGCAGGGTCTTTAATGACTAATGGTGACATAGGTAAGAATTGGCTGCCCTTGGTTGAAGCTGGGGCTACTTCATAAAGACAAGCTGTGTGGTGTAGAAATAGTATATACGTTCCTTGGAGCAAGAGTGTGTGCATGTGTGTATGTGTATAAATTACAGCAACTCTTAGTTTCTTCAAGGGGCTTGGAAGGGCTTTTGGAGATAAGAAGAGTGAATACAGGAATGTTCCTTTGGGGAATTATAACTCAGAGAATACATAACTCAGGAAATATAACTCAGAGGATCTGAGTTATAGTTTATAGAGCACTGAAATGGAACATTATCCGTACAGAATTATATAGGACATTTAAATCCGGGGAATTGCAGGAAAGAAGGATTTGTTGTCATAAGAATGACAATTTTGCCAATGAAAATTCTATTCTCTACTTTTCTAAACTTCTTGGCACTGGAAAATCCTAGCCTAGAGGGTACTAAGTAAGGAAAATTAAGATGATCTTGATGTAGTACTTCCTAGAGAATTTTAATTTAGGACTGTTGACTTAAAATTATGAAGAAAAGCAGAGACTGTTGCAGTTTCATGTGAAAGACATTGTCAGACAAAAAAAATACTCATCCAATTGCATAAGGCATCTATTAGTGTTTACCATGTATCAAGAAAACAATGTGAATCAAAAAGAAAAAACAGCTCATTATCTCTGGACTGATAACTTTGAATTTATGCAGGTAAGCTGGGGTTGCTATAAGAAGTATATTCCACGTGCCAATCTCCAGCCTCGCCAATCAATGGTGCAGAAAGAAAGGCTGATAATGAATCAGCATAGGGTGAGGCATCCTTTTTGTAAAAGTCTTATATTTACTTGTTCCATTTATTTCAGTGAAATTCTTAACTGTTTTTCTCCCTTGAGCGCTCTTTCCTAATGCTAGCAGGCATGATGCCATTATCCATATGGGCTTACAGAGCAACATGCCTTGTCATGGACCAATGTAAATTGCTGCACTTCTACTTCAAGACAATCTGGTAGTATCTTATGACCATCTTTCTACCCTGTTTCCATTTTCATCCATCAGGCAGTAAAGTTGACTCAGCTCTGCAACAACAAATGAGCCGTCAAAGAAGGGGGCATTCTATTGAAATGGTACTGTTAGCTAATCAGCATGGAGAAGCCAGGGCAGTTCTTTCCTTTCTTGGTTTTTAATTCAATAAAACTATATCTGCTATTGAGGTCATGTTGGCTTCCTTCTCTTCCCTAGCCCACTTCTTAAGGGTGATAGTATCTATTATTTTTAAAATTGTCTCTTCCCAAGACCTTAATATCTTGTTTAACTGAAATATAGTTTACAATTAATGCATAGATTTAAAATATACTGTTTGCTGAGTTTTGACACTTGTATGTACCAGTATAACTACTACCCAAATCAAGATATAGTACTTTTCCATCACCTTAAAATGTTTCATCATTAACGCTCAAGAATAAGCAATACTAATTCATGGTGATAGAAATCAGAAGAGTGCTTGCTTCTCAGGACAGGGAATTGAATGGAACAGATAGAAATCATCCAGCAATAATATTTAACTTTTTTTTTTTGAGACAGGGTCTTGCTCTGTTGCCCAGCCTGGAGTGCAGTGGTGCAGTCATTGTTCACTGCGTAAACCTCCTAAGCTCAAGTGATCCTCCTACCTCAACATCCCAAGTAGCTGGGACTACAGGCGCAAGCCACCATGCCCAGCTAATTTTTGGAGTTTTTCTAGAGATGGGGTTTCACCATGTTGCCCAGGCTGGTCTCAAACTACTGGGCTCAAACAATCCTCTTGCCTTAGCCTCCCAAAATGTTGGGATTATAGGCGTGAACCACAGTGCTCAGCCAATAATATTTAATTTTAATAGTAGAAAGGAAACTTCAATGGTTATTTTATCTTATGACTCTAGTCAGGGTTAGAGCTAAATGATTCAAAATATCTATGGGTTTTTCCCCCCTCTTCTTAAAGATTTCAAAAGAAGATTGATACCTCACTTATATAACAGTAACAACAGTGTGGTTTAGAAGACCTTTCTATTGAATAACATAAATCTCTGTTGATGTCATTGAAGTTCTTTTCCTTTTTTATATACCAAGAAAAATGTAACCAACATTTATATACAGATAAGATTTATGGCCAGGAATGGCCATAATGTTTGCTATCAAGAGAATATTTGATCAGGGAAATGCAAATCAAAACCACAATGAAATAGATCATTTCATCTGTTAGAATGGCTATTGTTAAAAAGACAAAAAATAGCAAAAGCTGATGAGGATGTAGAGAAAAAGAAACTCAATACACTGTTGGTGGGAATATAAATAAGTGTAGCCATTGTGGAAAACAGTATGGAGGCTCCTCAAAAACTAAAAGTAGAACTACCATATGATTCAGCAGTTCCACTACTGGGTATTTAGCCAGAGGAAAGGAAAACCGCTCCTGGTGGTCTAGTGGTTAGGATTCAGTGCGCTCGCGCTCGCTTGTGCGCTCTCTCTCTCGCTCTCTCTCTCTCTCTCTCTGTCTGTCTTTCAAAGAGATATCTGCACCCCTATGTTTATTGCAGCACTATTCACAATATTCAGGATATGGAATCATCCTAAGTTGATTGAATAAACAGATGAATAGATAAATTAAATGTGGTAATATGTACATGGTGGAATACTATTTAGCATTAAAAAGAATGAAATTATGTCATTTACAGCAATATGAATGCTCCTGGAAGCCATTATGTTAGGTGAAATAAGTCATTCACAGAAAAATAAATACTATATGTTCTCACTCATATGTAGGATCTTAAAAAGTTGAGCTCATAGAAGTAGAGGTAGAATTGTGGTTACTGGAGTCTGGAAAAGGGGGATAGTGAGAGTTTGGTTAACAGATATAAAATTACAGGTAGGAGGGTTAAGTTCTAGTGTTCCGTAGCACTGAAGGGTGAATATAGTTAATGATGATTTGCTGTATATTTTCATATAGCTAGAAGAGAGGATTTTGAATGTTCCCAACACAAAGAAATTATTTTTGGTGATAGATATGCCGATTACCTTGATTTGATCATTACATATTGCATATATGTATTGAAATATCACTTTGTACCACATAAATATGTAGTACTATAATGTGTCAACTTAAAATTTTTAAAAAGAGAGTGATAGACTAGTCATGCATTGCTATGCTGAGGACAGCAAGAAACATGCTTAGAAGGCTGGGCACCCTGCTTAAGCCCAACATAGTGCATGGTTTTATTACTAACCCATCCCCATTGGTAAATCCATGAACCAGTGAAACTAACAATGAATATATAAAATTGACATCTTAGCACCTCCTTGACAGGTGTGTTTAAAAATAATTCTTTTTTATTTATCCACATTAGGTATAGGACAGATAGTCTCTGAGAATCTTAATAGATCTTTTGTCTTTCTAAATGAAAAAGAAACTTAATCTGCATCTTAATTTGAGGAATAGGATTATTCTAATTCTATCTGAAAATGCTTTTTTGTTCAGGAGTGTGTTTGCTGTTTTCTTTACTATAGTAGTAATCACATAGAATGTTTGCCCTGGAGGGAACAAGCATAGGTACATCACAGAAGGTAATGACCATTTGGATTACTTCCATCTTTTTTTACCTGCATCTTTGGCCTGCATTCCATTTTCTTTACATTGAGTTTTATCTATCGCTTTCTTAGTATTTTCCCTGTTTTCTCTGGAGCTGTTTTCCAAGCCAATCCTGTTGTATAATTGAATTTATCACTAGAGGGCACAAGTGTTCAACAGAAAAGATGTTGGTGAACAGGCAGAATGGTGCCCTAAAGAAGCTGAGCAGAAGACAAATTGCTTTTGTTTTAAAGGAATTATTGAAGGACTCAGTTCGATGTAGCAAAGATATTTGCCTCCCAGCTTCTGCTATCATAGAATTGGAAGATAATCTAGAGATGTCTTGGGTTAGGAACCTCATTTTACATTTAAGAAAACTGAGGCCCAGAGAAATTAAGAATTTGGGAATATGACATCTCTGCTAGGTGAGCAACCTGTACCTTTTTTCAGGGAACCTCCTTGTTTGACTGTAGTGAAGCAAATCTGAAATTAGGACTTTCTATTTCTATTTCTATGCAAGGTTTTCTATTCCCTATTCATCCATTTGG